TGGCAATATCCACATACCAATACTTTATATGTAAAATTATCTGGCTTCAAACCCTTGACCATCATATTCCGAATGATCTGCTCAGCCTCACTTACCAAGCCAAGTCGATGAAACCCTTTGAGAACAGTATTATAAGTTACAATATCAGGATCAACACCGTTCTTCTCCATATTATCTATAAACATCAAAGCTTCTTCTATAGATCCTTCCATACATAATCCGTCAATAAGGATATTGTAGCTGTATGTATCAGGGAGAATCCCATACTTTAGCATCATGCAAAAGAATGACTTTGCAATATGAACAAGGCCCATTCTGCAAAAACCTGACATAAGGGCATTGAATGAAACAATGCACGGTCCACTATCCTTTCGTTCAGTCTCCAGCCAAAATTTTACTGCTTCGTGAAGCAGTGATTGCCTGCAAAGGCCATCTATAAAAATGGGATTCGTATATCTGCTTTGTATATCTCTGGATTTTATTTCATCATATACATTCCATATTATATCAGTGTATTTCATGTTTTGCAACAAGCTATTATAGGTGTATATTGATGGTAGCAAATCCATAATCTTCATCTTTGCTAAAACAACAAGGGAGTCATGGACCATATCACATCTTGAATAACAAAAGGCCACCATGTCCCAGACAAGACAAGTCAAATTCCAGTCACTAAAGCTGTTATCAAGAAGATCACAGAGAAAAGGCGCAGAACCTGACCCTAATCACACCAGAAATAACCCATAAACAGTATAGTAAGATTCATAATCCACTTCTCTAAGCAGAAAATAACAACAATAAACACTATAAGCTGATAAGCGTCTACATCAGTAAATAGTAACCAAATATCGATGTTACTAATGGAAGATTGGAAGGTCTGGAAAATTTAATGCAAGCAATCTTATCTCTAAGAATTCAACCAACGGAGTTCAGTAGAATGACTGCTTCCTAAGGAATGTAATAGGGAATTGATGATTATATTATTAGTAATTCAAAATTGCAACCCAGCGGTAACCCTTTTCGATCATAGGAATACCGTGATTGCTTTTTCCAGTAGGGTGATAGATGCCACCAGCAAAATGTAGTGATAGTTGGCTTAAATGGTAAAATAAAACATTGTTAGTGGATAGATTATTACAACTTTAAAAACAGAAGTTTCTTAAAGGTTCATGTTCAATCGATTTCTGAAGAATGACTGTTTGAGGAAGGAGTCCATGAATACTTTTTCGAACGTTAAAGAAGATATTCAATGCAAGAAATTTAGATAACATATATACAGGAAGTCTATCTAATCCTTACGCAAGAAGATATATCACATGGCTACAAGGAGGGTGTCAAAGAGGTCAGTTCTATGAGTACTGTGACATATTTTGAGCGTCATTTCCATGGTGGTGTATCTTATAATCCTACTTATGTCATAGCTCCTATATTCAGAGCAACCTAAGACAAATGAACAACCGTTCTTCGCTTGTAGATTTTCATTAAGAGTTCAGAATATTTAACTTAAATAGATGGTCATTCAAAAATCTCCCAACAGTGACAAAATTAACTGTAATGCTCATGCAAGTTGCAACTCCACACCGGTTGTTGAAAGTGATCATGATCGGCTTTAAATTCAGTTTGGTGAGAACCAAATGCAAAAAGGTTATTTAATCTAAAGCTAAAAAACAAGTAATAACTCGCGCTTTGTAATTTACCTTTTTCCTGGCAGTAGCTCAAGGCTTACAGAAGATTGATTCTACTTTTAGATACACAGATAGGAGCAAACTACGATTCGGATTTATTTAAAGCTGATTAATGTGAGCTATATATAGACAAGTATAGAATTGCAAAGCAAATGCTTAAATTCTCGAGAATTCGTGATACCGACACAAAAACAGGAAACTGTCAATGTTCCAACATGAAATTCAATCCCAATAAGAAAATAAGCTATTCAATTGCTAAAAGCTGTAAAATCATCAATCATAAATCATATTACTTCTCCAACATAAATTCATTGATCAAACAAAATAAAGCTCCAAAACAATTACTCATTGGATTAAAACAACTGACCTTCATCTTCTATAATCTTCTTAACAAGATCCTGCAAATGCCAAATTTGCCGCATTTCAGCAAGAATATGAGCCACAATAAACATACATTTGATCGAATGGCGAAACCCATAATCAATCTTCAAAAGGGAATAAAACCCAATAGCCGAATCCGGGTTTTCGATCCTCAATCTATCAATAATCTGATCAACAGTATCAGAATCCAACTTAGAACCTAAAACGCCATGAAAATAACCACCAGACACAAATTGATGGAGGCCGAAACGTCGTAAATTGTAGAGGATTTCAGAGACTGTGTTATTGGGGGTTTGGGTTAGGGTTTTGGGGGGAAGTTCGTCGGAAATTATGGCGGCGGAAGTGGAAAAAGGTTTAACGAGGCGGCGAGGAAGAAGGCGGCGGAGGCTGCTACATTGATGGAGACGATAAAGCATGGAAATTGATGAGCTTGAAGGTTATCAATGGCGGAAAGAAGGAGGAGAAATGGTGGCGGAGGAGAGAGAAAGAGGAAGAGAGAGAAGGAAGAGGGCATTTGGGGTTTAGGGTTTAAGGAAGCCGTTGAATTCCCGGCAATTTCAAAGGTACTGGAGTTACGTGGGAAAAATGGTGACACACTGACACCAACTTATGGATCGGACCATGTTTGTTGTCACTCATTTTGCTGTGACCGGTGAGGGTCATCCGGTGAGGTGGTATGCGGCCTAGTGTCGTGCCTGCGTGACATGGGTTGACAACTCGGCTTATATGAGACGAGCGCAGATCGCCCAAGCGGTGCTTGAATCCTGAGGTTCGATCCTGGCCAATCTTCCTCATATGCGTAACGAAAAAATAAGTAGAGGAAACAATACGCAATGACACTAACCTACATCACGAAGTAAGACACATTGCATAAGGAGGTTGCCTCATAATCAACGTCGACTATAACCCCTAGACTTCCAAGCTTACGATGTGGGTTCGATTCCCACTACTGCTCCAGGACATCGGGGAAACTGTCAGCATGTGACATTATGGATTTACGGTCTAATCAACTTTGATTTGGATGACTCTAAGCATGGGTCAAGCCTAGACATTGTATACAAAAACTTTTATTGAATTTAGGATAACTTTTGTTGAATGTAGGATAACTATTGTTGAATTTAGGGTAACTTTTATATATGGGTAAGAATAATGCATCCGATTTTTAAATGTTTGTCCATTGTATAAGGGCATGTCAAATATAGGTTCACATGTATATTTCACTAAATGTGTCTTACTTAGGGGTGGGACTTCGGTTTGGCGGTTCGGTTTGACCTAGGTGCAAGTCGGTTTCGGTTTGGAGCGGTTCGGGTTGAAACGGTTTGATTTAGCTGACGGGTCGGTTCAATTCGGTTTGGGTTAGTCACGGGTCGGTTCGGTTTCGGTTTATTTCTTTACGGTTTAAATTCGGTTTGGGTCATAAGCGGGTCGGTTTATAAACAATTCGGTTCATGCCGGTTCAGTTTGAAACGGGTCGGTTTAGGGGGTGGGTTTACCCGGGTTGATGTCGATTCGGTTTACAAACGGTTTGGATCATGCCGGTTCGGTTTGAAACGGGTCGGTTTAGGGGCAAGTTTACCCGGGTCAATGTTGGTTCGGTTTATAAACGGTACGGATCATGCTGGTTCGGTTTGAAATGGGCCGGTTTAGGGGAGGGTTTACACAGTCCAATGTCGGTTCGGTTAATGAACGGTTCGGATCATGCCGGTTCGGTTTATAAGCGGTTTGGGTCATGAATTCATGATTGTTTTAAAGATCGCGTCATGACCATGATTTAATGAGTTGATACTTAGAATACGATAAATCGATAATTAAGGAAGTACAAGTACTCAATCAGATCGACCAACAAGTGTTTTAAACTTTTAAGTTTTAATAATCAGATATGTTTATCGATTATACGTACATACCAATGATTCAATGAGGCAATGATAGTATGATAATGATACCAACCGTACATTTGTACGATATGATATACATAATAATTAAATAATTAATACATAATTACATATACATTAACAATATCGTATTGAATCAATTTCCATTTCCAAACATTGCATTTGTTATAGATTATAAGTTACACGAGATTAAATGGATTCGTTATTTAGTTTGTTACTTTATTTAGATTACTAACTCAAACAACTTGATAAGTTAAATGGACGAAATCACGAAATCACTAAAGTGGTGATGAAATCATTATTCAATATTAATGTACAAATAGTCAAATATACAACGGTTAGATTGAATACCCATGAGAAACAATGGTTAGACTTAGATTTCATTACTTTATTAGTTATTAGTATTATTACTTATTATTTTATTAAGTTATTAGTTTATTACATATACAGTCACAGACTCACAGATATGTATACGTATAGAGATGTCAGATATTGATATACATTAAGTCATTTTCTATGTCGTATTGAATTAATTTCAATTTTGAAACATTTGCATTTCTTACAATTTATAATTTACAAGTTCTAAAGCACACGCAATGCGTGCACGATTTTCAAGGTGTTACAATTTATAACTTACAAACCCATTATGAGCTATTACTCTTATCAGCCGTTTTACTTGCACAATTACACTTCTCTCTCTAAAATTTCACCTCCCCTCCTTCCAATTCTACTTCCCGCCAAACCAAATCCTTTGAATTTCCTTTTAAACCACTTTACCGCCAATAACTATCCCCCAAATCCGTAATCCGTGTGCCCAACTCCAAATCTAACTAAAACCGTCGATTATACCCCCAAATCAACGCTCCACATCCTTTCCCTCAAAACCTCGATTTTCAAAACCACCTCCCTATAAATAACCGCTCTCTTTCTCCCTCCCAAATCACTCACATTCTCACTCCACCCTTCATCTTATCATCTATCATTTTCTGCAACCCCAAACTTTCTCTCTCTAAAACCTTCACTTTCTCTCTTAACATCAACAATGGCACGAACCAAGCAAACCACAAGAAAATCCACCGGTGGAAAGGCCCCAAGGAAGCAACTCGCCACCAAGGCAGCCCGTAAGTCAGCCCCAGCCACCGGTGGAGTGAAGAAGCCTCACCGTTTCAGACCTGGAACCATTGCGCTTTGTGAGATCACGGAGTGAAGAGCACTGAGCTTCTCATCAGGAAGCTTCCATTCCAAAGGCTTGTCAGAGAAATTGCTCAGGATTTCAAGACTGATCTTCGTTTCCAGAGCTTTGTTGTTGCCGCTCTTCAGGAGGCTGCTGAGGCGTACTTGGTTGGTCTGTTTGAGGATACTAACCTTAGTGCGATTCACGCTAAGAGGGTTACTATTATGCTTAAGGGTATTCAGCTTGCCCGAAGGACTGGTGAGAGGGATTAATTGGGGGTTTTGATTGAATTTGAATTTCTAGGGTTAGTGTTTTGTGATAATGGTAATAGTAGTTTGATGATGTTTCAGTTGATAAATCTGAAATCTAATCTGGGTAGTAGTGATAGTAGTTTCATTATGTATTGGTATATGTATTGTGAATTTTAATCAATGAAAATGGTGACTTTTTTTAATTGCTTGTTGATATTACTCTAATTTTAATGCTATTTATCTGCTGGATTTGTGGTAGTGTTATGAAATAATTGTGGCTAAAGAATGGTTTAATTCGTATATTATGGAATAATGTTTTAATTGTTTGTTTTCTTCCTGTATTTGGGATTGATTGAAATTGGGCTTATTTGAGGTTTGGTTAAAACTTGGTCATGATAATATTGGATTTTATTGTGAATTGGTCTAATTTCTTCTTAGGCAAATGGGTCTTTCGAATTTTCAAATTATTAAGTTGTTAACAATCGAATGATATTGTAACTTGGTCAAATTTTAAATTGAATGGTGTGGTATAAATGTGAATTGTGATTGACTGATTGGAAATTGTAACTCCATAGTATTGATAGTCTAGGAGATTTGTAATTGTACTTTTGAGAATTTGATTCAACCCGAAACATGAGCATTGAAGAGAGATTAAAGTACAATGATTCTGAGGAAGAGAAAGATGATAATGTGCTAGACGCCTAGACTACATATGTTCAGTTACCATATCAAATTCTACACTAAGCTCAGATGTAACCAGACGATTACAAGAGCTAATTGATATAAACCGTTGTATAAACCTAAGTTGTTTAATTAGATCTACATTTAGTAATGTTTATTGCATTTATTTTAAAATTTATATTTATTGTTACCTTTGTTAAATTAAAGTATATATATAAATATATAATAATACTAGTATGTTACATTTGATATTAATTAAAATAAATAAGTAATCTAAAACGATATTAATAATGCCGTTGGACTAGATCTAGGTGATATAAACCTTTGTATAAACCTAAGCCGTTTGATTAGATCTACATTTATTAACATTAATTGTATTTACTATTTAACCATTCAGGTTGTAAATAATTCAATTTGAATTAAGCAATTTGTAATCGGATCAGTTTAAACAGGTTGCGATTCGAAAACAGTTCGATTTTAACGGTTTAACGGGTTATGGCAGTTCAGTTTAGACGGTTAGCGGATTATAACGGTTCGGTTTATACAGTTTTTCCTGCGGTTTAAACGGTTTCGGTTCATAAACGGGTCGGTTTAAACGGTTAGCGGGTTACAAATGGTTCGGTTTAAACGGTTTTTTTTACGGTTTAAACGGTTTCGGTTTATAAACGGTTCGGGTCATTAACGGGTTTATAAACCATTCGGTTCGGTTTCGTTTCGGTTCGGATTTGAGCAGTTTGGTTTGTTATCGGTTTACGGTCCGTAACGGGTTGACATTGAGCGGTTCGATTCGGTTTCGGTTTGATATTGAACGGTTCAGTTCGGTTTTCAATTTAAATTTATCGGTTTATAAATGAATCGGTCCGTGATGGTTCGATTCGGTAACGGGCGGTTTCACGGTTAGGTTTGAAAAGTCCCACCCCTAGTCTTACTTTATAAATACATGACATTTCGTGGTATACTGTTGTGTTATACATTATTGTTGGAGTAACTTTCAAGCAAAATTATAGTACATGACAGTACAAAATTAATCATACGTTCTGTGGAGTAATAATTAGAGACTTTTGAAAATTATAAGCAAGTCCCTAGAGCAACTCTAATGTTGTAATTAGGGAGTAGCTTGATCATTGGAGCTAAAAATTACTCCATAGAACGTATCATTAATTTTGTACTGTCATGAAATATAATTTTGCTTGAAAGTTACTCCCTAAGTACAAATCTCAACAAGGGAGTAATAATTAGAGATTTTTGAAAATTATAAGCAAGTCCCTAATTACAAACATTAAAGTTACTTTAATTTAGTCTTAGACAAGTGTAACATATATTTTAAAACAGTAAACATATCATTTTCTTAACCTCAAAAGTACAGTATAAAAATGTGACAACTAATTTCAAAGGTATGCCGCACTAATCCATGATCTAAATCCCAAACTTCAAGCTTCATGAAAAGAACAAGTTTGTGACAATCACAAAACTTAAGCTAATTAAGTTGGTCGAAGATGAAAAAGCAGTAAAACCTAAAAAATATGAGGAAATTAGAATGTTTAAAAGATGGAATATCTTTGTCTTATTCAGGCAAAAGGTTTGCCTCAAATCTCCAAGATAAGAGTAATACCCAAGTTTTAAGCGGACCCCATTAACAAAATCTCTAATTCTAACAGTTTAACTTACCATGAAGCAAACATCGGACCTGAAAATTGGGAACAGTTAATAACGTTATTACTTTGTTAATCATTATTATGCGATTATTAATCTTAATCAAAAGAATTAATGTTCGTTCCCATATAGTTGTACGTTGGTAAAGTGACTAATTAAGTCTTGTCAAGACTTTGGTTATGTCGGCAAAGCATATATATATTCTCGTTAAATAATTATTAGTTAACTTAATCCTTACATTCTAGGAAGTATTTTTTTCTTCAAATGTAGGCCAAATTTTAAAAGCATACTACCACTTGACTCTTTTTCCTTGATCTTTGCAAAATAGGTTTCAATTATGTTATTATGTTATCATGTTAATGATTTTTTTTATTGGATCGATTTGTTAATTGTAGACTTTATAGGCTTGCAATGGACATGATCAATTTCTCCAGGTATTGTCTATGATATTATATAAATCTCACTATATATATCGCATTTTGTGTGCGGTTGGTCATGACACTGTATGTGGCCACTTGTAAAAGAAGAAAGTAAATAGCCCCAATAACACTGTCAAAGTAACCCATGATATATGGTCCGTTGGCAATTCAGTATGGTCAACCACATATAAGAATTTGCGATCCCCTAAAATATTGTTCAAGACGGTTCACTTTTTTTTAATAAAGAAGATTTAATGAAGAAACACCAAAACAATACATATCTATGGATCTCATTGCGAAAGCATTTGAAAAATTTTCTTCCAAGTGTCAAACTAGTTTCCGGCCAACCGGCCGAAACTCATTTGTCCCCTATTTTCTCATCTAAATGCTCAAAGTTGAACTTGTAGAAACAAATAGACAATCTAGGGTTCTTGCTATTGTGTATGTGAATCCAAAATTTTAAAGCCACCACAAGCTATAATACTAAAACAAACTACTCCGCATTAATTAAGTTGAAAAGGAGCTACTAACTAATACTCCTAGTTACTAAATCAACCATTATTGGAATCTATATTTGGATGTTTCACAAGAACGATCATAAAAGAATATCTGAAAATATAATAATATGTCATTATCATTCTAATAAAACGATAACAACTATGTTCCAACCACCTTATTTTGATTTATTGACCCTTTTCATACCATATGCTTAAATAAAATTATTTAAAAAGCAAGATTAGTAACAATAAACTAAATACTTATGTAAGAAAATTTCATGCGTTCTACATTCATTATGATAGTAGCTAGCTAGATGTCAAAACTTTGATATAGCAATATAAGTGCATATATGATCTAAGCATCAACCTTTAATCATTTTATTTAATTATAATTTATTTCCTAATTAGGTAGGGTGGACCAAATTAATTAAAAGTAAAATATATATTATATAGTATCATGATTAGCATCTAATCTATATAAAATAAATATTTATTAATTAAGCGCTAATACATCCCACTAGTTAGATTATTTGCTTGTGAACCAAGATGAAAAAATTAGTAATTTAAGGCTATGTAATGAAACTCACACTTCACCAACCAAATTTGTAGCCAAATTTTCTTATAAAGACCCCCTTCATTACAAAAGCAAATATTTTCATACATCACAAGCTCACAACCAATCTAAATTATATAACTATATATTTATTTATTTTCTATAATGTCTATATTTCTTTGTTAATTAATAAGTTTTAAATATTTTGTAATAATACTATTGAGCCAAAATAAAAATAAAGTAACAAAAAATGTCACGAGGAAATAATGTAAGGAAAAATGTTCTAGAGAAGAGTAGCAAAATAGGGTGGTTTAAGGCAAAAGAAAATCCAAACCAAAATAATAACAATAGTTTCTTCAAAAACTTCAAGAAGGTGTATCCACTTGGGATCCATAGGAGCAACTCTTCATTATCAGTGTCGTCGATCTCATTATCGTTGTCTCAAACGTCGACGGATTCTTCCCTTACGGATTACTCGTGTCCTTTGGATCAAAAGATCTTGTTATCACTCGAATCACTACGAAAGGTTTCGACCACCTCTCCTGAAAAGAAAGAGGTTCAAGTGGCTAAGGTTGAACAATTGCCTAGTCCTAAGAAGCCTTGTGATGACAATGGTGAGGTCAAGAGGTGCCATTGGATAACCAAGAATAGTGGTAAGCTTATATCTTATTTCAACTTGTGATAAATAAAATATATAGTGGTAGTTAGAATATAATTTTTGTGCTTTTCTTGCTAAAAATTGGCTATTGGAACTTGTTTTACAGTAATGCATGCTTTCACTTTTCATACATATACATGATTAATATTATCTTAGACCTCCAAATCTCTAATTGCATTAAGTTTAAGCATTGTATTGTTTTTGACGAGTTTGTTGATGATTAACTACTTGTCTACTTCTTTAATCATTAATTAAGAATTATACTATGTATATGATGATGAAAAAACACCTAGCTCAGATTTACTTAATTATATGTTATTACCAAATTCAGATATATTGTGACCATGATTCAAGTGACTGAATCAAGTTCAAGCCTCTAGGTTTCTGTACGTATAGTAGTAGTATTTGTGTGTACGAGGCGTTGTATTCTTCACCTTATATATTCTTATTAATTATTACTTATTTTATTAGGATCAAATCAAACCATACCAAAAAAATTTAAGACTAGATCAAACAAAATTATAATGATAATAATTTAGACTAGATCAGATCAAACCACACCGAACTAACCCTAGCTTAGATAGATCTTTAGAGTAAAACACTTTGAATAAGGTGAAGATCGAGACCTAGCTTAATGTTAATTTTGTTCCTAATTATAATTACCCTAGTCTATCACATCATAAAGAGAACATTTGTTCTCCAAACACATATATACCTTGATTATCTTATGTATAGAGAAATAATTAAAGCAATGTTCTCTTTTTCTTGTTTATTGGGGATCGAACAGACAACGCATATGTAACCTTCCATGACGAACAATGGGGAGTACCCGTATACGATGACAAGTACGTACCAACTATACATATGAATACATACATACATTTCATTTTATAGTATGTACATATATTAGCTAGGAAAAATGTATATCATTTGATCGATTTTAAAATATATTTGAGAAATTATATTACTTATATTTTTGTTCATCAGTCAATTGTTTGAGCTGCTTTCCGTGTCTGGTATGTTGATGGATCACAATTGGACTGACATTCTGAAGAAAAGAGGCCAACTGAGGTAAAAACTCCTTTTCATACATTTTTTTTTTTTGTTACATATCAATTTTATTTACTTAGAAAAATTAGACTGACCAATATACTAGTGTTGTGTTAATTATGACATATATACTATAGAGAATCATTTGGAGGATTTGATATCAACTTCGTTGCTAACATGGAGGAGAGCGAGATCATAGAGATATCGTCGAACAAGGAGCTGGGATTACCTGAGTGTAGAGCAAGGTGCATTGTGGAGAATGCCAAAGGAATAATCAAGGCAAGTTCTTCAAAAGAAACCACAAGAAATGAGTTAAAAATCGTGAAATACTGGATTTACCGTTTTAATTTATGCATTACCTTATTGCTTAATTAAATAATAAGAATATATGTATATACTCCTTCTGTCTCGAAATAATAATTATATAAAAGTTACATTATCTTCAAACAAGTGGTATATTTGAATTTGTAAATTAACAGAAATTGTGTTTATTATTATTAAGACTATAGGTCACGTGGTACAGGAATATATGATTTATGTTTAAGACAACAATTATTCAAATGCAAATTTCTAATTAATTTCATGCAATATATGTGATTAAATATTTATGCAGGTAATGAAGGAGTATGGATCATTTTGCAGTTATATATGGGGATATTTCAACTATAGGCCTATTATCAACAAGTATAGATATCCAAGGAATGTACCATTAAGGACTCCAAAAGCTGAGGTCATAAGCAAGGATCTCGTACGTCGAGGGTTCCGGCTAGTCGGACCGGTGATCACTCAGTCGTTCATCCAAGCAGCTGGGATGACCATTGATCATTTGATTGATTGTTTTCGGTATAATGAGTGTGTTAGCCTTGCTGAAAATCCTTGGAGACATGTTTAAGTTATATCTGTATATGTAATTAATTTTTTAAAGAGAGGGATTTTTATTTAACTATGTAAGTTTTATTGTAATTTTATATACATGCACAAATTTTTCGAGAGCAAAGAGATTAAGGTATTTCTGTTACATGGAAAAATGGGAGGACTAGATGTGTGTTTTTGTAAACCTCCAAATACTAATTCAATTTTCTTTTTATTATATTAACATTTAATATGTTTCTCTAATTGGTACTAATATGAATGTATTCATTTGTTACAAGTTTTTTTTTTTTTTTTTTTTTTTTTTTTTTTTTTTTAAGTGTTGAGATGGCCATATAAAGAATAGTGATATGATATATAGTAGAAATTTTTTATTTTGATCCAATACATTATGTTTTAAATATCACCTTCATAAGATTAACCAACTAAGCTAGTTGGCATTCACTACGTGTGAAATATAAGTTAAAGTTTGGTTCTATCAAGAAAAATCTTAATAATCAAATAAGAAAACAATTCAACAAATTGTCCCTTAGTCCCTAAATTAAATTAAGTTCAGTAAATCTAATAATGACTAGCTATCTGAATTCAAGGTTGGCACTTTTTTTTTTTTTTTTGAACAAACACTTAACTTTTTTCTTTGTTGTTCCTAATTGAAACGTTAATAGATTCATATTCAAATAATCCAATATATATTTTTTTGAAAAATATCTAAAGACGAAAAACATACTAATGTGATATTCGATTTGATTATTTAATTCTGATGTGTGAATATCAATTTTTTATAGTGCAAATATGAAGATATACATGTGTTAATGTTTATTTCTATATCTATTTTCTTAGTGTACAATAGACCTGGTTATTGGATAGGGTAACTCAATGATTAAAGAGTCAGGGCCAAGCTTAAAGGATTCTTAATGAACATAGCTCATATTAGGTAGGAGTCAGACCAAATAATAGATAAAGAAAAAAGATAAAATAAAAATTATTACATAGATATTTTCGTATTCATATTAAAAATAGCTTTGTCTAATATTTATTTTAATTAATAGTTTATTGGTTCGCCCATTATCGACCCATTGAGCTTAAAGTGTGGATGCAGCATAGGACTCACCATATCTAACGCTTAATATTCTACTTAATATTCTACTTAAATGGTATCATCGTCCCATGTAGGATGCTCCTAATGGTATCATCGTCCCATGTAGGATGCTCCTAATAAATATGATCCTACAATTTTCGACTTTCTACAAACTTCTTTCTGTTTTAGGCCATTTTATGTCAACCGTTGCCATGTTTGTGCATAAATAATACTAATAAGAAGGCAACAGTTGCAGTCCTAGCAGCAAGTCGCGAATAATTTAGCAAACTTCTAAGACCAACTAATATTATTATTGGATTTGCATTGGACGACTCCTAACAACTATTACTACTAGTCTACTAACAAAATCCATAAATTATATCACAAATATATTGTCAACATTAATCAATTAAGTTTAGTCTAGTAGCTGCATGCAAACAACTTTTCTTTTTTAAGAGTGGAAAACTAATGTATAATATTCTTAAAAGATATCTATAAAACAAATTATATTGTAGTGGATCAATTCCAATAAGACTAACGTAAGATTCTTCTCTCACGCGTTGTTCCGCTGTGCCAATCATTGGTAGGTTCTAGTTGTCAATCATTGTTAAATCTTAGGCATATATATGCATATTGTCGTATGTTAGTGTAACAAGATATAAACAAAATATCTCTATATACTCTAGGCCAATTAAAGCTCGGCACCGGTTAGACAGTCCACATGTCAACGTGCCTCATGCTCAACTCCGGCTTTGGACATATTTTTCCTCACCCACAAAACAGGGCCCTCAAAATTGGTTTTTGAACATGTTTTTCCTCACCCACAAAACAGGGCCCTCAAAATTGGTTTTGAACATATTTTTCCTCACCCACAAAACAGGGCCCTCAAAATTTTAAAAAAGCACTGACTCTATTAAAAACAAAATCTTAAACTTACCTTTTCCCCTTCTTCCCCGTAAAACAAAAGGACCACTATTTCCAAAGTAAAACCAAATTTATAAATTTAAGGGCCCAATTTTTAAGCTGTTGGATAAATCTAAAAAAAAAGTAATGTCATATCGATCTTTCAACTAACCTACACCTTAATAAATCCTACCCAACTGTTCAACATGTATAACTATTTTGAACTAGACTTGTAATATAATAAGACAAGAACATGTCCTATGTATGTATACATTATCAAAAGACATCTTCAATCACTAATACAATTATTCTTGAATTGAGCAACATAAACCTAATATAAGATCAATTCAATCAAACAAAAATTACAAATTAAAATAGCTATTCTTCCCAATTTCTAAACAGGAATACGTCGAGCCTGAGGCAAGGCTTGATGTGAACTAGTAACATGCAAAATCTCATGGTTTAACAATTGAGCAACATTACTATCATCTCCATTAGAGATGATACCTTGGATGATAGACAATAGGACGCGTTCGAGATCACGGCCGTCTTCCCATTCATGGATCTTGGCCTTGATAAGGTTTGAGTTTCTTGAGATCAAGTCATAAACAGGAAAGTTCTTCCTTGGCATAACATGGTCACTTTCTCTTAGCATCAAAGAAGGACAATAATCTCCGAGACCATCTCCTAAGTAGATAAATTTCTTGGATTCTTGCTCACTTAGTAACCTTTTGATCACTAAACCCTACAATTTTTTTAACAATAACATAAAATTAGTCGTGAACAATCATAAATAAAATTAATTCATAAAATATTTCTTTGTTGCGAGTAATATGTAACGGATAAAGTATTTACCTTGCACATGTTTGAAGGGCAAGGGTTGTTACATCCATGAGGAGATTTAGTAAAATCATGTAGCGGTAATATCCTTAATCTTCCTTCTTGATCAACATAACTCGGATTCGTGTTAATCTCTGAGAAACAATCCTTTGCTCCTAGATGATCAAGTACGGTCTCAATGAAGAAAGTATTAGCGTCACTTACAATCCTCAAATCACACCTGAAAAAAAATAAAAATTCCCAAGAATTGTTATTAATACCTAGATGACCTAATTAATGTACAACAATGATCAAGATCGTCACAATTAAGTATCCTAAATAATACCTAGAAAACTCGATTAAAAATTTGGTTGTCATATCGCTAATTCAATTAGAAATAATATATCAATGTGACTATTAATTCCGGATGACATAAACAAGAAAAGTTTCAAATACCCAGCAGCATGGGCAGATTTGATTGCGGGAACGACACGAGGATGAATCGGAACTCGTTTCAAGACTTGTACAATATCATCAATTGTAACTCCTTGTTTATGCATTTCGTTCATCAATGTATCCTGTTACGATCAATAAATCATACGTTAAATCGCGTAATAAACTATATAATAAAACCAAGAAAATAAAAGAAAACACATTTAAATTAGACCGAACAAAAAATACTAACCATTATAGTATTCCAAGGCGTATTTACGAGTAGTAGTTTATTGAAAAGTGATGTAAAACCGAACTCATTAACGACCCATTCATCACTATCACAGTCGATAATCGTTTTATCGAAGTCGAAAACGACCATTAATCCTTCCATTGCTCAAGAAAATTACTTAGAAAAAAAAATCAGAAACTTTGATGAATTGATATTTGTTTTTTGTGTATGTGTAATGCCCTAGAAGTTAATTGGAGAGGTATTTATAGTTTTAAAAGGGATATTTTCATATATATATTTTGAGGGTTAATTTTGATCGTTGGATTATGTGTGACAATTGAATCCAAGGGCTAAAATTTGACGGGTTTATGGGAAAGTAATTATGTGATTAACAATAAATAAAATGCGCGGGAATCTGAGGGAATATGCTTTTTTGTTATAGGCTGATTTTCTATTTGGAATAGAATTATATGAATGTATGTACTATTATAAGTTTTGATAAATTAAAGGTTATAAAGGATAATAGCTCATCAAAAAAAATTGAAGGACAATAGAATATTCTTTCGTTGCGTAAAATTGATATTTATCTTATTAGGTGTTTGATACATTGTGAGTATAGGATGGGAATGAGAATATTTATCGTATCTACTTATTTGTTTTTGTTTTTTAGAAAATTAAAAATAAATAAATTTAAAACTACAAAAATTGATTTGAATTTTTTGTTATTAGTTTTCAATATCATGATGATTTTTACAAAATACTTATTTTTTTTTTTTAAAATCAAGAACCTAAGATCGGATGATTTGATTGAAGAAGGGAAGAAGCCATGGGTATATATAATAAGGTAGTGATGATTTATAAAAGCTTGATCAATTTTAGAGTTTGGACAACCCCAGCCATGTTTGGTTTTCTGATGTAGTACAAATGTTCAATTGTACATGTTAATGAATTAATCCACTAAATTGTAGAACCATCCAAGCCCAAGCCCAAGCCCACTTGTGTTTTCTTTCTTCTTGGCATATTGTAACAATACTGTATTTTGATAACAGTTTCGCATTGATTAGATGTTTGTGACGATTCTAATTTTATGTTTGTGAATGTATGATTTTAACCATTAATACCTAAGCTTAATGGGCAAGGAAATAACAAATCATAGAATTATGTTTTCCCAACTAGCAAACTTTTCAAAGTCAACAAAAACTCCATATCTGAATTGACCCCATAAGTTATGAATCTTATGATGATCTGGAGTGAGATAAATGACTAAGGGGCGTTTGGTTGGTGTATTTTTTGAGTTGGAAACGGATTCGATTAAACCAATACCGTTACCATGTGTTTGGTTTGAAGGCATGGTAACAATTACCATTACCTAAGGGTAATGATTACCCCTTATTTGTTACCTCTCAAAAACTTGGGGTAACAAATACCCTTACCCTCCTCTTAACAAATACCCTTTCTATGGTTAAATCAAACAAATGAAAAGGTAATAGCTAAATGATTCCTTTCCCCCCTCTTATTTGTTTCCTTTCCACTCCGTTTTCACTTTTCAAACTAAACGCCCCCTAAGAGTAGACGAGTAGTCAAGGGTTTATATTTTGGGTCTGTAGAGAACCACAAGGACAGGTGATGAAAATTGATCCCAAAATCTCTTGGAATCGAGAGAGAACTTCTAACCATTTAAGCTCCCTCCCTCTCCGACGTTGATAAATTGCAACATAGACTACCTTTGAGTCAAATTTATGCTCATTAGTCATTACCAAATTGGATTAATACATGCAAAAGTCTTGTTTGGTTCAACTTATTTTTACTTATTTCAGAAAAAAATAGTTCGGATCATATCACATTAGAAAAAATAAGTTTAAATCAGGTCATAATTTTATGTGAAACTTTTCATCGCTAAATATCTTTAATTTTTTAATTAATAAATCTTGAAAATTACATATTAATAAATTACACATTAGTATGAATCTAACAAGATCCTACTTGATATATTTTTTTTCCTTAATATATTATCGTACACTTAAGATTAAAGTTTGGTCAAATTTGAAAATATGATCATATCAGACCAGATTAAATCAGATCAGATAAGCAAAAATAAGGTAAACTAAAACCCCTAATTCATTGAAAGATTGTTATATACTCCCGGGTGTATTGTACACCCAACTAATCCAAGTTAGTTTTTGCTCATCATTTGATAATTAAATAATAAAAAACAATTATTAAAATGAGAAGAAAATACTTATTGTTGTAGAATGTAGATGCATCTGACCCGAGTGTATATAACAAATTCCATAATTCATTAACTACAAATATGTTTCTAAATCTTTCAGCCAAACATGTCACACAAAACAAAACCCAATTTTTTTCAGAAGCCCATTCCCATTGAGCTCACGGCCCAACCGATTGACCAAACGGCCCAACCGAAGAACAGAAGAAACACTTTGTCCTAGTACAACTTTAGATCAATCATTGTGTATAGGGGTGTTAATCGGGCGAGCCGAGCACGAACTATGGTCAGCTCGGCTCGTGATCGTTTAAATTTGTTCGAACTCGAATCGAATTTGAACCTTTATGAGCCGATCTTTGACCGAGCCGAGCTTTGACTAAACGTTGACCGAGCCGAACTCGAACTGTTCACGAACAACCTTGATTTATTCTTAGCCCTAATTTACTTGTCTTCTTTATTGTTCATTATTAAATTTTTTACTTTATAACAAGGTTATTGTTTTAATAATGAAAATACTAACTTATTGTTGTGTAATATCTATTGATAAAAAAATTTATATTTATATACATGATTTTTTTATATGGAAAAAATAAATGAGCTTGTTCACGAACTTTTCGAACCGAGCTTGGCATAACTCAGCTTGGCTCGTTAAGGTCTCGAGCCGAACTCAAACCCGAGTTGAGCCACCACGAATCGAGCTTTGACCGAATCAAGCTCGAATAGTTCACGAATAGCTCAGTCTCATTATCACCCCTAATTGTGTATATGAGATGCTTATCTCATTTCCTACTATTACCATCCACTTATACTTTGTTCCCTTTCAATAATTAAGCACACCTAAAAAAAAACAAAGAATCTATGACAATTACCAACTAATATGTTTTCCACTTTACTTTTAAGAAGGAATATTGATATATATCCTAAGTCCCAACTCAAACTATCTCCTCTTCCTTAAACTTTATTTGATCTAATTTTTTTCCTTTTTTTTTATTAATTTTTTCTAACTTAACTATCTATAATCCAGTTGTAACCTTGTAGAATTATAGGTAGGTACATCTTTTAATAAATTCATCCATGCATCATAATACTTTATTAGCATGCTTTTGCTTTGCGGTCCCTTTTTTTAAGCTTTCTAAAGGTGGACAATTAAGTAGGTTAAATGTTACTTTTAACTAACTAAGGACAAGAAAAGAATTTTGAAGACTGACTTTTCTACTCTTTCTTTCTTATTCATTTTATATGGCACTTTTCTTATGTGTGTATGACTAGTCAATCATTAGGCCTTCCTAAGAGTGCCATATACATAGTATAACGTTGTTTAGGGTACAAAAATGCAACAAAAATTAGTTATATAAAAAAAAATAAGCTATGAATAATTTTGTAAATGTTTAGGGAATTGAGCCGCCCGGAACGTGTTTCTCCCGTTCTATAAAGATTATGACAGTTTGATTTATGCATTATTTATAAACCAACTCGAGTTTTTAATTATGTTCTATTAGTAAATTATGGAAAAGAAAATGTTCTTATAGCATAAAATGTTGTTGGATTAACTCTAACGTACACTTTCTTTGATGTGGAATTGATAGAGGTAACAAGGTAAAGATGTTTACACATGAAATTAAAGTTATATGTACTCATTCATAAATAAATATAAATAAAAATTAAATAGATAGATGTTATTGCCCATTCTTGATGTGTAAAAATCACTTTAAAATAATGATATAATTCATGTAAAACAGCTTTTTAATACATGTTTAATAGGGTTTTTGCTTGTCATAACCATTAGGACTTTAAAGGTGTGCATCAAATGTTTCTTCCAAATTTTTAAAAATCACATACCATTCAGTGATAATTATGTTTGTGTTATCTTTCTATTTACGTAGTATACAAAAATTTAACAAATTTTTTCAACATATTTGACACTTTACCAGTGTGAGTCACCATTGATACAGACTCAAATGGGATCACTATTTTTGTTCAAGTAATGAAAATAATCATATTTGGTCCACTCCTACAGGGATGTCTATCTCATCCTCTACTATTGTCCAGCTCAATCAAGTATGTTGTTAGACCGATAGTTTGCTCTTCAAGCCTTCAAGGTACTCACTGGGCCTTATAAAGATTGCCCGAAAATTTAATACTAGCTCTGTCTTTCCTTCTAAAATAAAAATTGCCCTAAAATTTTTCCTTCATTTGAAACCATATGAAATTCTATCTTTTATTTTTCGTATATGCAAATAAATTATTAAGATGAAAAACTTACCACTTAAAAAACAAGTTAATAGTGTTACGAAACAATCTTATGAGATACGAGAAATATTGATAATCCGAATATTGTCTTTATTCCATCATGGACAATCATCATTTAAACATCGGCTAAACCCTAGAAATGAGTTGTATTTCTTTAAAATACTATTGTACTACACTAATCATAAGAACCTAAGATGATAGCTTTTTGACACACTTTAAAATTGATTTGAAAGAGAACATCAAAAGTGTCCAATTAGACAATTAGACAAGACCATGGTCCAGTAGTTAGCTTTGTAAATTAACCCATTATTTTATCTTGAATCCCAATTTTTCAATAAAGTGCAATTCTTCCGGGCCCTCGGCCCTACTCCTAGCTACAACTTGCATATATACATACAATTGACACAATAAAACAAACATGTACAAATATTAGGTTGCCACGTTCTTGGTGAGGGTCCATCTTACCAAAATAAATAAATTCTACTTGCTATAATTTTTTTTTTTTAAAAAGAAAGAAATTATTTTTAATACTACTTGCACGTTTTTCTCTCTCAAATTATGCACTTTCATACCACCTTCTTCTTCACCCTTCTTTGATGATGATGGGTAGATGGGAATCTGCCTCCTAAATCAAGGCCTTCACCAAATATACATGTTTATCTTGTTCAAGATATACTTACACAAACATTACATGACTGATTACTTTTTGCCCCTCCAATAGTTCCTTTACTCAGTGCTATCACGTAGGGCTGTTTTAAATATTCTTGTGTGAGACTGACTTACAAAGTCATTTTTTTAAA